CACGGCAACCCTCATTGTTAACCCTGCTTCCACGTGGGAAAACCAAAGCTCAGAGACACAAGTAACTTGCCCAAGGTCCCACTCGCAGCAGGTTGAAGAACTGATCCAAACCTGGATCCGTCTGTCCCCAAAGTAGGTGCCACTCCCAGAGCTCAGCATGTCCCTCCCGCTCTCTGGGCCTCAGTTTCCCCATCTGTACAAGGATGGTGTTTGGTGAGATGATCTCGAAGGGCTCGTTCTGGTTTGGAGCATGGTCCCAGCATCAAACACATCTGCTTTTTGGTTCTAGGGTCAGAGACGCAGCCCCAGCTCCATGCCAGTCCCATGTCAGCCACTGAGGAGAGGAAGCCAAGAAGGTGCGGTCCCTCGAGAAGGGTGCAGGCTGTGGGGGACAGACCATACAGGAATGATTCCAGTACCCTGAGCTGAGTGCTCCTATACACACTGAGTCCTCCTGGGTGTGCAGCTCGGGGCCAGATGGAGAACATGGGACCCAACCAAGGGGCTTGTCTCCCTGCTGGAGGCTCACTGGGGCGCACTGCAGCTCCTGACCACCGAGAATGAGGCTAGCCCTCACATGTGCACTGTCCTTTATCATGTACCCAGCCCTTCCCCATGGGCCCATGAGTTAGCTAGGGAAGGGATTCTTTACTAGACTCACCTCCTACAAGGACAAAATGAGGTGTAGAGGAGATAAGTCGCTGATCCAAGGTCACAGAGCTTTGGAGGAACAGGAAGATATAGGCCCATCTATATTGCCTTGTCTCCTTCTACATCCCCTCTTGATCCCTTAAGACTCAGAGCAGATTTGAAAACATGCAATAGGTGGTATCCTATAAATCAAAGCTGGCGGCTCAACCACAGAGCAGACACAAAAGGTTTCTTGAAGGAGGTGGGGACCCATTCTGGATCCTAAGAGTGGGGTGACAATTGGCTGGAGGAGAGCAGGCATCCCAGGCAGATAAATCACATGTGCAAAGGCCCAGGGGCAGAGTGAGCTCCTGAGGAGTGGTTAGAGTGCAGTATAGCTGGAACATGGAGTAAAGCTGAGGCAGGGAGCTTACCCGGGTCAGGGAGGGGGATGGGGCTAGGGACCGGCGGGGGGTGCCTGGCTCTCACAGAGCCTTGAAGACCAGGCTGCATTTACAGAAGACGGGACCTGGGGCGGGTGCAGGGGAGAAGTGTGGGTGGTATACAGGACTGCTCATCCACTCATTCCGGAACAGAGGATTTGGCTGACCTGGCTGTCTGATTTGAGCGATAACTTCTCCTTTCTGAGCTCGTTGTTCCCTCCTCAAAGGATAGGAATCTTCAAAAGTCCATGAAGTTCTGACATTTATGATTCGAGGTTGGAATGACCTTTCCTCAGCACCATTACTGAGGAGCGTGTGGGTGCTGGCCCAGGGTGGGGCTGAGCATGAGGCCAGGGGAAGGCCGGGGTGTGGGGCAGGGAGGGCCCTGTCTGCGTCGCCTGGGGACCCCCGGGGAAAGGAGAGAACGGGGAGTTTGGAGGAAGGTAAAGGCACGCTCTGGACCAGCTGATCCAGGCTTAGGGATCATGGCGGGGAGGGGGTGACCAGGAGACAAATGTGAAATGGCAGCCCCCCACCCTGAGAAGCCCATCCTTCCCTGTGCCTCCCTCCCTGCCGGCCCAGAATCCCATGTGCTTTCTTTCACCCTCTGTGAACACCTTCCCCCCAGCTGCTCCAGCCTCATCTAGCTGGATAAGATCCAGCTAGATCTCATCCCCTGGGTCCTCCTATCTCCGTGGGGCACCTGAGACTGGGGATGAGAACACCCACCTGTGTATTCACTCCCTCGGAAAGCGCACGTTAGCTGACCACTCTGGTATTGTTCTGGAAGACTAAGGAGCCTGAGGCTCTGCCTGCTGGAGCTTGCATGCCAGCGACAGAGACAGACAATGAATGGAATCGGCCAAAAGATGGTACGGGGTCTAGAGGACAGGACAAAGTAGCGCAGAGCAAGAGGAACGGGGTGGCTGCCATTGTAAATAGGATGGTCAGGCCAGGCCTCGCTGAGAAGGCAACATTGAAATGAAGACTTGGCGGACTTCTGGGGGCTGAGTCAGAGCTCCAGTAAATTACCCGAAGCTCACAGCAGCCCCAAGAGGCAGCTTTTTTATAGATGAGGAGACTGGGCTTAGAGGGTGATGTTATAGTCCAAGGTGCTCTGCCCGCAAGTGCTGGGCCCAGGATTCGAAACCACATCTGCTGATTCTGAACCAGCACAGGGGAGCGTCGTGGTTGGGGTCAGAGCGAGCATGCTGGAGAGAAGGACCTCATCTTGGCCACATCTCAGCCGAGCCTCAGGCAGGCTCCTTACCACTCTGGACCTCAGGGTCCTCATCTATGATGTGGGGGTGGTGACAGAGCCAATGCAATGCACGTAAGGGCTTACACAGTGCCTGGCACCAGGCAAGGGCTCCAAAGTGATAACAAATAATCACCATCATCACCATCACCATCATCATCATCACCACCATCATCATCACCACCATCACCTTCATCATCACCATCATCATCATCACCATCATCACCATCATCACCTTCATCACCACCATCACCATCATCATCTCCACCATCACCATCATCATCATCATCACCACCATCATCACCATCATCACCTTCATCACCACCATCATCATCATCACCATCACCACCATCATCATCATTACTATCATCATCATCACCACCATCATCACCATCATCACCTTCATCACCACCATCACCATCATCATCTTCACCATCACCATCATCATCACCACCATCACCATCATCAGCACCATCAGCACCACCATCACCAGCACCACCCTCATCATTATTTCTCCTGTGCCTCATCTGCCCGAGCCACACTACAGAGCCCCCAGTAAGGGTGCCTGGCCTGTGGCTAGAGCCTGTTGACTGAGCCTGTGTTGGGGGCTGGTGGGTGTGAAGGGGCTGCCTTGGTGGATGACAGGTGCCCTTGGCTCCATCTCGCCCTCCCTCGCTCCCTCGCTCCCCTCTCTCTGGCTGATAAAATATGGAGAAGTTGGCACGGCCGGTTGCTGCTGAGAAGGCTACCAACACCCCAGAGAGGGTGATGGAGAGCCCTGATTACACAGGCCTGGTGGGCGGCCCGGGGGGTGGGCAGGAAAGCAGCAGTCGCCCATCCATCTCAGAGCCTTCAGCCCACCTGGCCTGGCATCCAGGCACAGGATCCAGCCCGTCCGGGTGCTGCCCGTTTCCATCCCAAAGGCCAGTTGTCTCTGTCGTCTCCCTGGCCCCTCACAGGAGCCCATGGTGGAGAAAGGGCAGGGGTCTGTTTGCAGATGAGCGACCTGAGGTCCTGAGCGGGGAAGAGACCTACAGAGCGAGTGGCCATGTTGGGGCTAGAACCTTCAATTTCCCCCAGCTAACGCCCTTTCACTGCCCTGTCGACACCTGTCCAGCTCCTCAGGGGTATTTGCAAGAACCTGGGGAGCAGTGTAGCTTGGAGGTTCTGAGTTCCGGAGCCAGGGGACTCGAGCTTGAGTCCCAGCTCTGCCACTCAGAACACCCTTGGGAAAATTAGTTAATTCAGGCTCACTTTCCCCATCTGTTAAATGGGGATGATGAGCTGAGTCCTCTCCGGGATTCAGAAGCCCACGTCCCCAGATCCATGCCTGGGTCAGGGTCTCTGAGGCATGCAGAACCTCCCTGCCCTCCTGGTTTTCTCGCATCTGCCCTCCCCATGCTGTGCTTCCTAGATACAATGCCTTTCCCGCTTGTTACCCGCTGAGCCCCGGGCTCCAGGGCAAATGGCACCTCCACTGAGAAGCCCTCCCTGACCCTCATGTTTCCACATGGGGCATATCACCCCCAATCTGGAAACACTCTTAGAGCCTAACCACCCCTGGACCACAGCCTGGGTCCCACGGCACACGTTCCACTGGCTGCCTCCCCACCATGCCTTGGGATGCTGGAGAACAAAAATCCTGGCAAAATCCTCTCCCTGGAGCCCCCGTGACTGGCAGGGTGTGTGACTGGAGCAGGGGCTTATTTCTGAGAGAGAAGAAGGTCACGAGGTAGCAGCCAACAAAGGTTCCAGGCTTTCCTGCTCTCAGAGATGTCTGACTTTCCACGAGAGACTGGAAGTCAGGAATTGCTTTTCACAATCCCGAGGACAGAATGAGCTGGGCTGGGCTTCCAGGGTAAACGATAGAGTGAAAGAAAGAGACATTCAGACCAGCTGGGGCTCTACAAGCCCCCCAGATCCTACCCTGCTAGCTGCTGCCTGTGTCCCCCGGGGGCAGGGCATGTGTGTATCACCTGAACCCCGGCCTGCTATAAGCCCGTCCTGCTGCGGGATGGATAAAATCTAAATCCTGGTGCCTGCCCCATCTTCCCCAGATCTTCTGGCTCCACCACATGCATATTCTCTTATTTTATTTTTGATACACTGGCTTCAACTGTCCACCCTGTCCTGAGCACTCTTGCCTCAGGGCCTTTGCACAGGCCCTATTCTTTGCCCATGATGCCCCCTCCTCAACTCTTTGCCTGGATTATGTCCACTCATTGTCTCAGTCTCCACCAAAACATCACTTCCTCAAAGATGCCCTCCCGGGCCCCTCCGACGAGGCTGAGCCCCGCTTTTTCGTTCCCCCAACATCCTCAGCTTTTCTCCCATAGCACTTACCACAGTTCATGATCACACATCTTATTTGGATCATTGTTCACATCCTGGGAGAGCCGTGACCAGGAGCACGGGCCCCGGAGCCACCACCTGAGCTTACAAAGAGGTTTCACCTTGCACGGCTGTGTGGCCTTGGCCAAGAGACTTCACTTCTCTGCACTTCAGTTTCCTCATCTGTAAAATGGGCCAATAAAGGGACATACTCATGGCACTGCTGTGAGAGATAAAGGGCTTGATGAAGTAAAGCACTGGGAACAGTGTGTGGTCCTTGGTTGGAGCTTAATTCACACCCACTGTCCATCTGGGCATTGGGATGTGGGCTCTGGGAGGGCAAGGCTGAGCCGGTTTGCTCACCAGCTCACCACTGGCCCCAAAGCTTGTACATGGACCGATAAACAGTTACTGAACGAATGAACCTGGAGTGGTGTGGTGAGCTGTTTCCAGAAGTTTCCAGTTTTAGAGCGCTTTATTATTTTAAAGGACTTTATGGACCACCACATGATTACAGTTTCACCTCAAGTAGTCATTAACAGAGAAAAATAATAATATGACAATATCACCAGGTCGCTAGCTCGGCGATGCTTTCCATTAAAGTTTTACTTTTAACCTCAACACTTGAAAAAAGAGTCTCCTTAAGGGTGGGAAGCCTGCGGCTGCCGAGTCTGCAGACGGGTTGGCCTGAACACGGATTCAGCGTGATGTGGATGCAGAGTGCAAAGCAGGGGCCCAGGCGTACACAAGCCGAGCTGGAGATGCCAGTGAGACAGACGCCCAGGCTGGGGTGTCTGAAGGGGGAGGCTGAAGATGCAGGAGCCGGATGGGGCCGCCCGGCTGAGTGGGGACCCGGCTACCTCGCCGGGGGGTGGGGGCTGGAGCTCTGCTGCCCTGGAAACACAGCACGTGGATTAAAATAATCAATATTTGTGAAGGACGGAGCCCAGTGCTGGTACATAGAAGCTTCTGGATTCGTCTGTTCTCCATCTGCTGCCTGGGAGGCACGTGGAGGAGGCTTCTGCCCAGGAGGCTCCCGGGGGACCTGCCAGGGACTCTCCCCAGCTCCCCTGCCTTATTCTGGACCTGCTTATTCCAGGCCTCTCCGTCCCACCCCCTTCCTCACCTGCCGAGCTGCACCCCTCCTCACCCACGGCCTGGCTGCCCTGGAGCCTGGCCAGGTCCCTCACGACGCTGCGGCTGAGGGACAGCTGTGAGGACACAGAGCAGACGGCTGGCCACCAGGTGCAGGATGGGGGACGGGCCAGCAGGCAGGGGACAGGGCCGGGGCCGGAGGCTGCGGGTTTGGGTTTTTATTTCCACACAAAGGATCAAAGAAATCAAAACAAGCCAGTCATTTTTAAAGAAACCAGACTCGCAGACAGACCCCGAGAGGACCCACGCTCGGCCACACTGAGCAGCTGCACGGGCTCTGGGAACACAAGGAGCAGAGCATCGTGCCCCAGAGTCAGCTTTGGGTGGCAGAACCTTAGAGAAACCCACTCTCACTGTGCCAGGGTCAACATTCTTAGGGTCGCAAGGCCTTGAGTCTCTGAGGGACGCGAAGAGGTGGTTAGCTCAGCGGTTAAGAGAAGTCTAGTACTTCCATGCCCAGGTTCCAATCCTGTCTCCACCGCAGATGAGCTGTGTGGCCTCGGGCAAGCTTCTTAACTTCTCTGTTTCTGTTTCCTTTGCTGTAACATCAAAGTTGTGAGGTTGCTGTGAGCAATCTGTGAATGCTCTTATCGCCCAATCTTAAGCCAACATATCTCAGAAACATGGCGTCTTGGGGGGTTTTCCACTCTCCCTCACTCCTCCCTGCAGGCATCTCTTCTCGAACACGCCCAAGAGATGCTTATGCATCTGAAAGCCAAGGGGACCCCCTCACAAAGCAGCCAATTCCACTTTTAAATCGCCTGGATTGAGAGCTGAAGTCTTCTTCGTAGGAACTTCTGTGCATCCTGGGGGCCGGCTGTGCCCCCCATGTCTACTTGCTCCTGTCCGCAGGGCAGATTCCAGAAGTGAGACTCACCGTGCCCACCGAAGGCTGCGTGCTTGCTGCCGGGGCTCCTCCAACATGGGTAAGGAATTTCTGTTATACACGTTTACACCCCGTCATTCACTCAGTAGTGCCAGGCTCTGTTCTAGGCGCCAGGGACATGGTGGGGGGCAGATCCAAGTGCCCTGCACTTAGGCAGTTTGCAGGTTAGTGGGAAAGATGCCAATCAAATAAGCAACCGCACTGAAGGGTGAAAAAGAGACTGAGGGGCAGCACAGGTGCTCCTGGGGGGGACCCCAAGTTCCGGGAGGAGGGAGAGATACAAGCTAAGTTCTATTCTCTTCTCGTTTTCTGTGTGATGTTGAGCCCACTCCTTTTTTATTTTTTTTTATTTTTTATTTTTTAAAGATTTTATTTGTTTATTTGACAGAGAGAGACACAGTGAGAGAGGGAACACAAGCAGGGGGAGTGGGAGAGGGAGAAGCAGGCTCCCTGCAGAGCAAGGAGCCTGATGCGGGACTCGATCCCAGGACCCTGGGATCATGACCTGAGCCGAAGGCAGTCACTTAACCAACTGAGCCACCCAGGCGCCCGAGCCCACTCCTTTTTTAAAAAAAGATTTTATTTATTTGATAGAGAGTGAGAGAGCCCAAGCAGGGGGTGTGGGAGAGGGAGACGGAAAAGCAGGTTCCCCGCTGCCTCGAACCCAGGACACTGGGATCATGACCTGAGCCAAAGGCAGACGTTTCACCGATTGAGCCTCCCAGGCACCCACTGAGCACACTCCTTAACCTCCCTGAGCCTTGCTTTCCCAAATGACCAGGAGGAAAGGGTCCTAGAGACCAGGAAAAGTCACCTTGTCTATCCCACAGGACACTGGGAGGCTCCCAAGAGACAGCGGACGAGACACTGACATTGTCTGCTCTCTTCCCTGCTCCAGAGCCTTCTTGGCTTGAATTGTGTATAACCCAGAAGATGACTGGGGGATGAATCTCAGTTGGTCTAAGGTGATCGTGGCCATCTGTGTGCTTTGCCACTCATGAGTCTTGGGCAGGCATGTGGTCCCGTTTAACGTGATAATATAAAGAGGAATCTCTGGAGGGCCTGGTGAGTGGCACTATGCTTCAAGGTAAAGATTTTCCTCTCCAATGGAAGTGAAAGGCACATGAGGAGGTTCCTTTGCTCCCTTCCCTCCCTTCCTATTTTGGAGACTGTTGTGTGAGGATGTGATGCCTGGAGCTGTGGCAGCCGTCCTGTGACCATGAGACACCAAGCCAAGAACAAGGACCAACCAGCTGAAAGTGCAAAAGTGGAAAATGGTGCAATGGACTGAATGTTTGTGTCCCCCCAACTTTCATATGTTGAAATCCTAACCCCTAATGTGATGGTGTGGGCAGGGGGGGGCCTTTGGGAGGTCACTAGGTCACGAACGCTAAACCTTGTTGGATGGGATTCATGCCCATATAAAAGGGACCCAAGAGGGGCACCTGGGTGGCTCAGTCAGTTACGCATCTGACTCTTGATTTCGGCTCAGGTCATGATCTCAGGGTTGTGGGATTGAGCCCCGCATCAAGCTCCAAGCTGGGCATGGAGTCTGCTTAAGATTCTCTCTTTCCCTCTCTCTCTGTCCCTCCCCCTCTAAAAAAAGGGGGGGGGGACCCAAGAGGTCTCTCATGCTCTTTCTGCTGTGACAGGATACAAGAAGTGGGCAGTCTGCAACCTGGAGGAGGGTTCTCACCACAACCTGACCACAATGGCACCCCAATCTTGGACTTCTAGCTTCTGAACTGTTTTTTATAAGCCACCCACTCTGTGGTGCTTTGTGATAGAAGCCCAATCTGACTAGGACAGATGGAAAGAACTAGGGTGCTGGGTGACATTGCTACACTGTAGAATCAAGGCCATCCGCCATCCAGACACCTGGCTAAGTAAGCAACTGCTGTCCTTCCGAGTTAAGCTACTGACAGTTGAGTTTTCTGTTGATACAGATAAACACGTCCTTTCTTTACCTTTTTAACTCCTTCTCCTCCTCCCAAAGCCAGGTGAACCATTATCTCCTTCATGCAGTTTTTCCAGAAATATTTGCTGACCATCAGCAAGCCTTTATGGAGCACCCATATGGCCCCTGCTCGGTTTTAGGTGACGGTACAGCAGGAGGGGGCCATTATAACAATGAACAGTAGTGAAATAGATGATAATGAGATAGCTGATTGAACTGATTACAAATTGCAATAAATTTTATATATTCAACAGTGGGGTGCTGAGATAGAAAATGTGACCCTTTTGGGTAGAATTGTCAAGGAAGGCGTTTTTGGGGAGGTGATATTTAAGCAGGGCCAGGAGGTCCCCAGGCAGTGCAGTGACCCAGCCAAAGGTCCTGAGGTAGGAAAGAGCTCATGCAGCAGGCGGGGGGCGGGGGGGTGAGGGACCAGCAGGGACAGCACGAGATGGGGCTTCACTCAGTTTTGGGATTATGCCCGTGTTCAGGGACGGAAAAGCCAGGTGGTTCCATCCCCCTGTTAATGTCACCAGCCCGGACTTCTCCTTCCTGGGCCTGGCTGCCTCCTCCAGGGGCTGAGTCAGGCTGGCCCGGGACAGAGGAACAGAGGGAGTGTTCAAGCGACGTGGCAAGGCCCTCGCATCACCAGCAGCCCTCGGGCTTTTCGGCACGTGAAGACCCCACTGCCCCGAGGGGCTGCATCCCAGTTAGCAGCTTGTGGCCTCTGCCATCAGAGGACAGCTTGGTGCTGGCTCTGGGACACTTGGGGTGAATCAGCTCTTGGGGCAGAGAGAGAGAGATTGGAGAGGGAAACGCAGGGCAGGAGGAGTGGGGAGAGGCAGGGGGAGAGTGGAGGGAATTGGCTCAGAATATCTTAGGTCTCTACCCTCGGCAGCTTGGTCACATCCTTCCTCCTGTGACATTTATTGCTGTGAACGTACATTTCAGACACAAGTCTTAGCATCCTGGAACACCAAGAACCCTCAGAGATCAGGCCTGCCTAACACCCAAGGGCTAGGAGTCACACCGCAGCCGGTCACCCTGGCCCAGCAGGAGAGGGGGAGGGAGGGCCTCGGGCTGCACCAGAACCTCCAAGATCTGACCCACAACCCCCCCATGGTTGGACCCTCCGCCAGCAGTGCGGGGTCCCTGGGCCTCCGTGCTCCCAGCCAGCCTCCCTCTGGAGTCTCAGCCCCTCCGCTGACTCGCTGTGTCCATTTCCACATCTGTAAAATGGGAAGGATAAAAGAACGTGCCTTGGATAACAGGGTTACTGCCACGCGGCAAATGCTCAAGATGAGTTGGTCTGCCCTTGTTACTCGCCACCGAGGCTCCGGCCGCCCAGCCAGTCTGTGGCCCATCCAAGGCCAGGACCCCGGCTTCCGGGCTGGTGCTGTGTCGCTGAGCTCACCAGGACTTGACGGCCGCAAGGACTTTCCTTCACCACCTTGGGAGACGCTCCATCAAGGCATCGAGCTGCTCCCCACAGCCACACAGAGACTCGCCCCATCCGCCCCAGGGGCACACAGACAGACTCCACGGACAGATGCAGGAGCAAATACACACACCCCTTCACGCATAGGCTGAGAAGCAGGTGCTCAGAGAGCACACACACCAGGCTCTTCACGCCCCAGGCCCCCAGGCCCCCTCCTGGAGCCCACCACCTTCTCTGCCCTTCTCTGCATCCTCTCCCTCCCTCTACCACTCACATATTGTGGCGGCTCTCCCAAAGCCCCCAGCTGTCACTTGACTGAGGGGGGATGTTGTCAGCTCCTATTGGCAACCAGAAGCCAAAACTTCCACTCCCAGCCTAGGGTCTTGGCGTCCCAGCTCACCTGGAGGTGAGGTGAGGAGGCCGTGGGGTGGAGGTTTCAGCCAGAGCCAGCTCCAGACTGAGGGCATCCAGCTGGGGCCACCTCCTCCGACCCTCATCCCCCCCCCCCCCCCACAAGGATGTCTTGGGGCAGCTAAGTGCTCTGACAGAAGCCCTCTGGGGGTGGGGGGAAGCTGGGGGTCTGCATGATCTCTACCATCCGGGCAGTTCAGCGAGGCCCAGCTCTCCGGAGCCCCCCATGTCGTGTGACCGATGGAGCCTCAGAGCCTTAGAGCATCAGAGCTGGAAGGACCCTTCCTGTCCATCCAGTCCTGCCCCATCTTCCAGATGGGGTGACTGAGGCTCAGAGAGGGGAGGAGATTTGCCCAGAGTCACACAGCAGAACCAGTCTCCCAGCCTGGGCTCTATCCTCCCTCACTCTGAGTATGGGGGGGTCAATCCCAAGCCTGATGCTGACCCCAGATAGCACTGATCCCCACTGCTCAGCAGCCCCTTCTCCCCAGCCCTCCAGACCCTGCAGACTCAGGCTGTGGTTCCCAAGGCAGAGGCCTCCTGGCTCCTTCGTGATGGTCCCCAGAGCCAGAGACCTTCCCAGAGCCTGTCCAAACTCAGCTGTGATTTACTCCCTCTTTCCCTTCCTGTTTATTCAACCCCTTGGCAAAAGGCCCCAGGGGGAGAATTTATGAGCCAGAAGGAGGGGATTCAGGAGGGAAGAGGCGGGAAGATGAGAGTGTGTGGTTGAAAAGGAGGAGGAGAGAGGAAAGAGCAGAGAATGTAAGGAAAAAGCAAGACAGGACGTGTGTTTGTGTGAGAGAGAAAAGGAACAGTGCTGGCTTCGCAGTGGGGCTCGTTGGACAGGGATCTGCTGGTCCAGGAGAACCCTCCCCAAGAACCCCTCAGCTGCCCTGGGCTGCTCCCTGGGGATGCCCAGGGTCAGGAGCAGGTCTTAGGGTCCCCAGGCCCCTCCCAGGGGGGCAGGCAGCTGGTGATGCTACACCAAGGAATCTCCCACCCTTCCCAGAGTGCCTGTGTCCCCTGCCCCCTACTCAGTATTCAGCGACACCCCAGGTGACCCCGGGTACCGGCAGCACTGTGTATACAGGAGGAGCTCCTTAAACACTGCGTAGACACCAAGCAGGACACAGCCCCTGACTCAATCCATGGCTCCAAGCAAGATGGGTCCCCTGGGGGCCTCTGTTCCCCCCTCTGTCCCGCGAGGGGCCGCTGGGTGGTGGCTGAGGGGCCCTCCAGCTCTGACAGCCCACGGCTTTCAGCACAAAAACCCCCACCTTCCTGCCCACTCCCCGTTCTACCTTTGGTTATGGTTGGTAATTTCCATAATAAAACATCAAATCATAACACAAAATTAAAAACGCATCTTGCCCGGATACCCGTGGAATGCCCAGAAAGTAGCCAGAGAAACCATTCCTGCTGCAGGGAGAAATAACGTGACACCTCCTAGCGACTTTGAACCCAAGGGGGCTTAGGAGGGGTGTGCGTGGTGCCCTGGGGTTTCACAGCGGTGCGCAGAGTCTCGGCTGCCAGGCAACAGAAAAGCTAAGGGCACAGCTCCCTTCCACCTTTTGGCAAAATCATGCTCCATTGTCAAGTTCAGTCACTTGGGTATTTGTGAGAGTTTACAACCACCCTACAGGATATGTCCTTAACCACTCTACACTAATGAATACGTCTTGAGTAGTTTCTTTTCTTTTTTTTTTTTTTAAGATTTTATTCATTTATTTGACAGAGAGAGACAGCGAGACAGGGAACACAAGCAGGGGGAGTGGGAGAGGGAGAAGCAGGCTTCCCGCTGAGCAGGGAGCCCGAAACGGGGCTCGATCCCAGGACCCTGGGATCATGACCTGAGCCGAAGGCAGACGCTTAACGACTGAGCCACCCAGGCTCCCCTTGATTAGTTTCTTTACCTTTGTGTTGTATGTATGGGTTTTCTCTTACTTTCAACTAAGTATGTCCACAGAATTACGCACTTACTATTTTTGAAGGGAAAAAAAAGTAATTTGAGTCAAATAAATATTTTCATGAAGTTAAAAAAAAAATGCTCCCACCCCCTGGCTCTGGTCTCCTGCCACTGTCCCTCTCCTATCCTCTCTCTCTGCCCCTCCCTCTGGTGCTAACAGCAGAGCTGTCTTCCCAGAGCACCCTGTTCCCTCAGGCCCCTCTGCCCCGCTACACCCCAGACCTGCCCCCCATGCCCTCCACAAGGACTCAGCAGACACTGCTCCCTCTGCAAGAAGAATCATGCAGAGGACGGATGCAGGACCAGGAAGGCCAGAGTGTGGCTGGGAATGAAGGTGACAGGTCCATGTGAGGTCCAAACCGGCTTGGCACTTGCACTGGGAGTGATGTGGGGACCAGGACCTTCCCATGCCCATGAGATCCCTCTGAGGCGACTGACAGTTCTGCCGACCCCATGCCCAGGCTCCGCATCCTAACCTAACATGGGAATTCGATGGAACCCAAGAACCTACAAGGCCAGCTGCCTCGGTTTTTTGGGGTTTGGGTTTTTTTTCCAATTTTTTTATTTATTTCATTAGGGGCGGCTTCGTGGCTCAGTCGTTTAAGCATCTGCCTTCAGCTCAAGTCATGATCCCAGAGTCCTGGGATCGAGCCCCATGTCGGGCTCCCTGCTCAAGGGGGAGTCTGCCTCTCCCTCTCTCTCTGCCCTGCTTGTGCTTTCTCTCTCTCTCTCTCAGTCTCTCTCTCAAATAAATAAATAAAATCTTAAAAATAAATAAATAAATACAATTTAATTAACACATAGTGTATGATTAGTTTCAGAGGTAGAGTTTAGTGATTCATTATTTGCATATAACACCCAGCGCTCATCATATCACGTGCCCTCCTTAATGCCCTTCCCCCAGCCACCCCATCCCTTCACCCCCCTCCCCTCCAGCAACCCTCAGTTTGTTCCCTGGAGTGAAGAGTCTTTTATGGTTTGTCTCCCTCTCTCTCTTCCTCTTATTTTATTTTTGCCTTGTTTGACAGAGGAAAGGAGGGGCCCTTGTTGGAAGCCACATGGCAGAGTCTGGGGATTCGATGTAATCGGACCAAACCCTCCCCTGCACAGAACCTTGCAGAGGCTCCCCCCACCACCCCCACCAATGCCCCCGGCCCACAGGACAAGGTCAGATACCCCGGCCTTGGCACACAGGCTTTCAAGACCTCCTGCTGCCCCTACCCAGCCCCACTTCCCACTGGACTCCCAGCCTGGCTCCCTTCCCTCCATCCTTCCCCAGATGGATCTAACCCCCACTCCCGATCACCCAGACCTCCTCTCTACCAGGTCCACTAGCCCAGGTGGTGGAGCCAGGATTGAAAGCGGGGCAGTCGGACTCAAGAGCCCACACCCCTCACCACTGCGGGCTCCTGTCCCAGCGCGGGAGGGAACAGCCAGCAGAGACCCCGTCCCTGATTGCAGACTGTGCGCTCCCTTCCACTTCGCTCACACCGCTGGGCAGAGGTGGTCTGCAGGTGGGGGTGGCGGTTGGCAGGGGAGCCAACTGCCCTTTGCCTTGCCCTCTGCCACACCGGGTTCTTGAAAACATCGAAGAGAAGGAAAGCCCAGATCTGAGCTTGTGCTGGGTGGAAAGGAAGATTCTTCTGCTTCCCTCCCACCCCATACCTTTCTTTTCTCGAGCCCGGGCAGGACGAAATGAGGAGCAAATATTGCCCTGTGCTCTGAGGTGGGGCCTGGGCTCTGTCCCGCCCCAGGGCTCGCACCCTGTCCAGTCCTTGCTCGCCCTTCCACCTGCTGGCCCACCGTCAGCCTCAGCATCACCAAGGGATGCTCGCAGCATGACAGGGACAGGCAGCCCCACACAGAACATGCTTCGTCCCCTGCCTCTGTCCCTTCTCGTCTACACGACCTTAGGCAAGAACTGGACATTCCCTCTGCCTCAGTGTCCCATCAGGGAGATGGGGACGATAGCAGTCCCTACCATGCGGTGCTGGGGTGATTGTGCCAAGGGAAGAAGTCAGGGCGTATGACGTGCTTGGAAGGGTGTCGGGCACATGCTGAGAACCCTGCCAGCATCGGTCCTTATCCGTGGGCTCCAGGCGCTGGGCCAGGCTCCGTTCTCAGCTCAGCTAGCTGGGTGGTGGTGGGCAGCTGACCTGGCCGGCGACTTTATTCTAACTCTGCTGTTAAATGGGTACACTCCTCACCTTGCTTCACGGCACCGAACACGGCGGCCGGCACGGTGGGGGCCCTTCTCAGGATGATATTAGTGACAACGACGTGTTTGCCCTCCAGGAGCTTGCAGTAACGGGCCTCTCATGCAGGAGCCCAGCAGACGCACTCCTGGGGCCGTGTGCGGGAGCCGCCAACCCGCCTAGCAGCTCAGAGGGATTGCGTGTGCAGGGGTATGCAGGGAGAGGGCACGGCATCGAGAGGGGACATCCCCCTTCTGGAGAGTCTGTCCCCCACGGGCCTCCTCACCCTCTCCCAGATTGCATCAATGCAGCTTAGGGAATTGGCCAGAGGGAGCAGCTCTGCTTCACTAGGGAAATAAAGAAGCGACTGGTGGCCTGATCATCTCCAAGGAGAGACCATTAGGGAGACATGCCTGGGCAAGGGGGAGGGAAAAAAGAAGAAAAAAAAACTGGGCCATGAATCTGGAGATCTAGGACTAGCTGCTGTGTGGCCTTGGACAAGTCACCTGACCTCTCTGGACGTCAGTTTCATCTTGTGTTGTGTGTAGTTTGAGGGAAGAGGGAGGTGCTGATCGATCAGCACTTACCCAGCTGGCCTGGGAAACCAAGCCTTGTGGTCTGGGATGGTTGTCCTGGGTCCCCACGCAGGTCACTTCCCAGATTTCTTCCTGTCCCCTGGGACTTGCTGCATGGGAATGCCAAGCCCAGCTTTCTTCAAAGCCACTTCCAAGCTGCCTAACAACCCCCACCCCATCCCCCACCCTGTCCAACAACCCCAAGGCAAAGGCAAGAGCTGACGGAGTCCCAATGCGGTGGGAAGCAAGGACCGAAGTTTGTGGCGCACCTGTTACGCGCTGTGTGCGCGCCAGGTTCTTGACAAGTATTAAGTCCTTCACCCTCACAATAACCCGATGGGGAAAGTTAATATTTTCATTTTACAAATAAGGAAACTGAGGCTCAGAGAGGTTAAGTCACTTGCCCAAATCAGTAAGTGGGTAAGTGGCTGATCCAAGATTCCAAGTCAGTCTGACATCAGCTCTTCTCAACTCTGAGATGGGGAGCACGAAGGACATGTGGCGTTGGAGAGCATGGAGGCCATCGTAAGCAGGAGCTAATGCCATGAGCGCCGTCCTCACCCCCAGAATTGGCAAAGAGGTCCCCTTCCTCCTGGTTCTGAGAACCACCTTTGTAACTGCTCAGTCATGGAGGAACCAGCCATGCATCCAGCACCTACCATGTGCCAGCTCTAAGACGGGCATAAACACCATGCCCACACACAGTCCCTGCCCTTTCAGGGCTCATGGTCCAGAGCGGGAGACGGAGGCAGGTCAGGAGTACGCTGAGTGTCATGACAGAGGGGCCTGGGGGGCTATGGGAGCCTAAAGGAGGGACCCTAGCCTAACCAGAAATCAGGGAAATCCTCCTGGAGGAGGGTACCTGTAAAGTGGCTCTTCAGTGGGCTCAGACAGAGGAAGGTCTCTCTTGTTCACTGCCATCTCCCTGGGATCGAGGACAATGCCCGGCAAAAGTGAACTCTTAAGAAAGAACGGCTGAAATGATTTGTTGAACTGCAAGCTCCATGACAAAAGACTGACACCTCCAAGAATAATGTCAGGAAGGATCTGGAAAAGAAATTGATAGGGTTGGGGGTGCTGAAGGTGCACGGGGACGGGCGGGCAGTGGGAGAGGATGAGCTCGGTCTTCAAAACCTGGGAGGCACTCACCGGGAAGAGGAAACCAATGGGACCTGGACACCCCGAGGGGCAAAGCCAGGAATCATTGGAGGAGGCCCATCTGGCTCAGTTTAAGCAAGAGCATTTTAGCAGTTCAGCAGCTGGAAAGACTGGGAGCCAGCTCGTGAAGTGGGGTCCCCTGTTAGAGGACTCGAGTTGAGGCTGGATGACCATCTATTAAGGATGTTGGAGGGGCGCCTGGGTGGCTCAATTGGTTAAGCGACTGCCTTCGGCTCAGGTCATGATCCCAGGGTCCTGGGATCGAGTCCCACATCGGGCTCCCTGCTCTGCGGGAAGCCTGCTTCTCCCTCTCCCACTCCCCCTGCTTGTGTTCCCTCTCTCGCTGTGTCTCTCTCTGTCAAATAAATAAATAAAATCTTAAAAAAAAAAAAAAGGATGCTGGAAAAATAAATCAGTCAGAGGGCTGGGTGGGAAGTGGTGTTAGCTGAGTTTTAAGGTCCCATCTGTGGCCAAGTCTGGGATTTGCCTGACCAACAAATACCTTACTTTGGCCTTGCTAACAGAACTCCCATGCAGGATGGAACATCACAATGCCCAAAACAGGGGCCAAAAAGGATTGTTCTAGGCCACTTATGACTCTCCCATTCCCCTTTGCCAAACCCTTTCCCAACTTGCTTTGCAGTAGCAGTAACCTTATGACCCACTTCTAGCTGACAGTATGCAAGAGCAGGTCTGCTGAGCAACTTCTAGAAAAGATCTTGTGTCCTCCCCACACCCCACCCAGCCACTTCTGGCTAGCCCTTTTCACCCTTCCTCGGGGATGTTGGTGTGAGGACATGATCCCTGGCAGCTATTCTGAGACCATGGGGCGACAAAGCACAGGCTAAAAAGCAAGCACTCAGGATAGCAAAGTTTAGCAATTCTAAGATACATCATATTTTCACATTGTGACATCTTTGAAATCAAGATGTATCTTATAATAATCATTGGATGTCAAAGTATAATTGGCTTTTTTTTTTTAATCCACAGAGGTGCAGCATAGCCTGGGGACTTGCCCAATACCACATAAATAATAACAGATGTGGAACCAAGATTCCAATCCAGATATTTTCCATCTTAGCATCTAAAACATGGTCTGGGAGGAGGGAGGGAAGGGAGCATAAAAAGACTAAGCCCCCACTTACAGATGAGAGAACTGAAGCTCAGAGAGGTTAGACAGTTTTCCCAACGCCACAGAGCCTGTCAGTGGTAAAGTGAGTTCTGGCCCCAGCGTCCAGCGCATTCCCCGAATGCCTTGACCTGAAGTATCCGATGCAAAGACACGACTCCAGCAGCATTCATTCAGGGCCCACGACCAACCAAGTCAGGCCGGCCTGGTTAGGGCTCTTCAAAGCACAAAGTGACTCCAGCTGCCTCCTCACCGCCTGACTCCTTCATTAACAAATGGCGTCCATGGGCACTTCTGTCCCTGCCGGTGCCTTCTGCTAAGAGCCGAGCTGATGGGAGGGGCGGTCCTCGGCGCGGTCCCGGGGCAGGTGCCACATGCCACCTCTGGACAACGCTGTCCCATGGCTCCTCTGGCGTGGGCCCCGCTGGACGCACCACACTTGGTCTGCCTCGGTGCCGTGACTGTAGGAAGGCACCTCACCGCTCCGCACCTGGGGTCTCCGGAGTTTAGGGGACGATGGTAGCGCCACCCCCACAGGCTGCCGTGAGCCTCTGATGCGTGAACACGCACACAGCTCCAGAGGGTTACCCCGTGTGCCCTGACTGCACAAAGGAGGGAAGGTACAGGCCAAAGCAACGTGATCCAAGTGCAGCCGAATCCCAGGGAATGGATGGGTGGATGGATGGGTGGATAGGTAGATGGATAGGTGGATAGATGGATGGAAAGTGGATGAGTGGATGGGTAAATGGATGGATGGATGGATGGATGGATGGATGGATGGATGGATGGATGGATGGATCAATAGGTGGATAGATGGATGGATGGATGGATGGATGGATGGATGGATGGATGGATGGATCAGTAGGTGGATGGATGGATGGATGGATGGATGGATGGATGGATGGATGGATGGATGGATGGATGGATCAGTAGGTGGATGGATGGATGGATGGATGGATGGATGGATGGATGGATGGATCAATAGGTGGATGGATGGATGGATGGACAAGTGGATGAGTGGATAGGTATATGGATGGGTGGGTGGATGGACTGGTGGATGGGTGGATGAATGGGTATGTGGGTGGGTGGATGGGTGGATGGGTGGATGGATGAATGGACAGATGGGTGAATGGATGAGTGGACGGGTAGATGGGACAAAAGCCTAGTAGAGGCTGGGGCTGGAGCTCAGGGAAACTACTCATCTCCTCTCCTGCTGCTCAGGGTTGAGAGACTGCGGTCCTGTCAGGGATCAGTGAGTCAGTCCCTGAGCTCCCCAGGCAAGGAGAGAGCAGACTAAAGAACAAGATCTGACAGAGGATTAAGGTGACAGGAGCCAGCGGGCAAGGGGTGAAGGGTCGGGGCAGAGTAGCCAGAATGAAGGTCTGTGAAAGCAGAGAAAGCTGTTTCTCAGGTGGAGGAGAAACGGTGGGGGGGCAGCAAAACCAAAGTTGGCGGTGGAGGGAAAAACTTGATCAAAGGAAAAGCAATTAGGGCAGTGCGCTCCCTGAGTCCCTGTCAGCATGTGACTCCCAGAGCCCTTCCTCTCCATCAGCCAGCTCAGTCTCACTGCATCCCGCATCCTGGCAGCCGCTTTGTTCCTAGCCTTCTATTAGCTGTGCCCGGGGGAGGAAGACGTTGATGCAGGGGCACCCCTCCCCAGCCAGGACCCTGCTCCCCATCCCCAGCAGGAGGACCTTCAAGGGCCGGGTGGCCCCTCTGAGTGTCACCTCCCTCACCTGTAAAACAGGGGCAGCAAGGATGCCACCTGGAGGGGAGGTCATGAAGAGGAAACTAGAGCAGGTGTGAGAGGGTCTGGTACCCAGGCGGGGCCGCCACCTTCCCTTCCGCCCTCTTCCTGCCCCAGATGGACTACGAGGTGCCCAGTGAGTCGAGGGGCAGGCGGAGCTGTGTTTCTCCGTCGTGCCTGCTCAGGAGTCAGCCGGTGGCATCTTGGACCAGTGCTGGGCCTGCCCCCAGAGACGGGTCTCCTGGAGGTGGGGTCCCCGGGACATGTTGGCGTGCAGCCGGAGCGGAGCAGCTCGGATCTAAGTGGATGCATGGCAGTTAGGCGGGGACTCGGACAGAGCCCCCAGAACTGGTCACAGTGGGCATTGCTGTTGGGGAGGGCAACCCCGTGGCCAGGGGCCCGAGGGGGCCCAAGGGGGTGGTGTGGGAAGGCGGAGGACATTCCTCTCATACCCCTGGGCGCTATGGGTTCTGTTCCATGGGCCCACATTATCTATTGAAAGAGAGAATACTAAGAAGCAAATGGAATTAAACCGAGCGCCACCCTCCCCCGAGACCGGAAGGAAGTCCTTAGTGACACAGCATCTTCCGCTTCTCCCGCCCGTGGATTCCACAAGGACAAGGTCACCGGGTCCCCGGGACACGGAGGTGGCTCCGGCCACTAGACAACTTCCGTGGGCTGAATTGTGTCCCCCCCAGAATTCATCTGTTGAAGTCCTAACCCCAGCACCTTGGAAATGTGATTGTATTTGGAGATGGGGCCTTGAGAGAAGAAAGTCGGGTGAAAATGAGGTCTTTGGCCGGGGGGAGAGGGCCTGGTCCAATAGGATGGGTGTCCCTCTAAGAAGAGGGGATGTGGCCACAGACAGGCACAGGCTCCCGCACAGAGAGAAGGCCACGTGAGGACACAGGGAGAAAACAGCCCTCTACCAGCCGGGAGATGGGCCTCCGAATAAGCCCACCCCGCCCACATCTTGATTTCAGACCTCCAGCCTCCAGAGCTGAGAGCCGAGGCATCTCTGACCAGGGAGCCGTCCAGCCTGTGATGCTTCATTAGGGCGCCCGGCGGACGACCACGGAGGCCCCCTCCACCAGCACCTTCCATCCCCGCCACCAAATGTGGCCACGCAAGCACCAGCTCTGGCCCAGACAGCCCCCAGCCCCGGCCTCCGCCTTCCCAGCCCCTCACCCTTGGTGGTGCCCCAGGCCTGAAGGGAACCACAGCCCCTCTGACCCTCTGCCTGTCCTGGAGGGGGGCCTCCCCTTAACCCTGAAAGCATCAGGCCCCCCACAGCCCCCACACCCCCACTGGCCTAGACCTTCGGGGCAGCCGCCTTCTGTGACAACCTCGCTTTGTCAGCCCCGGAGAGCAAAGAAGCTGCCACGCTTCCTTCAAAATACAAAGGCCAAGGGGCGCCTGGGGGGCTCAGGCATTAAGCATCTCCCTTTGGGTTCAGGTCATGATCCCAGGGTCCTGGGTTTGAATCTTGCATCGGGCTCCTTGCTCAGCGGGGAGCCTGCTTCTCCCTCTCCCTCTGCCCCTCCCCCCGCTCATGCGTGCACGCGCGCTCTCTCTCTCTGCACTCTCTCTCTCAAAGTAAATAAATAAAATCTTAAAAAAAAAAAAAATACAAAGGCCTGGCCAGTACCCTTCCTTCCATCCTAAGGCATCCGCAAGGGTGACACACCCTGCAAGCATCTTCCTCAGCCTTCTTGCCCTTCCTCTCCTCCCTCCCCCTTACCTCCTGTAGCCTCAGGACTCTTGCAACTCGCAGGACCTCACTCTAACCTCATTAAGAGAATTGGTTGACCCCCGGGACTAAAAGGCCCCTAAACTTCAGGTGTCAGCACTCTGGGGGCTGAGAGTCGGAAGGAGCCCCGCTGAGGGCGAGGGCTGCTGAGACCATGACTGAGGGAGCTTGGGAGTGGCAGGAAGGAGCACCCCCACCCCAGCGCCCACACTCAGTGACTCTCTGGGCACAGAGAGCACAATGCAGATGTCAAGGCACCTGAAGACGCCTGTGCTAACGTGAGCAGGGGGACTGTCACTGAGCAGGGAAGGAGCAGAGTAGCTGCCGCAGGGCTTGCAGGACTGTGCCCACAAGCCCCTGCCCAGAAGGACTCTCATGCCCACGGTCTCTGTTTCCAGAAGGAAACGGAGCTTTGGACAAGTAAAGCTCAGCCTGCCCCATGCGCACAGCTAGGAAGGAGCCGAACGGTGCATCCAACCTGCAAAGCCCTTGCTCTGTCCCTTTGCAGCACAAGGCCTCCGTGTCCTCCAGCGGTCCCCTCCTCTAACCCCTCTTGGCTTCTTGGTTTCCCGCCCCCTCACCTAGGTGGCCTCCTGTCCCCACCTCCCTTCACGTTGCTCCAACCTTGACCCATCTGCAGAGGCGCTTCTCCCACCAAAATCTTGCATTGTGTTTCTGTTCTGACCTTGCTCTCAAGAACCTGCCATGGCTCCCCATTACTTCTAAGAATCGACTCAGAAATCCCCATGGGGGCACCTGGGTGGCTCAGATGGTTAAGCGTCTGCCTTCGGCTCAGGTCATGATCCCAGGGTCCTGGAATCGAGCCCCGCATCGGACTCCGGGCTCAGCGAGGAGCCTGCTTCTCCCTCTGCCTCTCTCCCTGCTCATGCTTTCTCTCTCTCTCTCTCTATCTCTATCTCTGTGTCTCAAATGAATCATTAAAAAAAAATCTTAAAAAAAAAAAAAAAGAAATCCCCAGCCAGGCGCAAAATGCCTCTCAGGCATCCGGCTCTTCTCGCCTGTGGTATCTGATCTCCCCTTCCTCCCCTCACAGACCCGCAGCTCCAGATGGGCGGATCGGCCATCCCCTCCTCTGAGAAACCTTCTCAGTGGCTCTCTCCGTGCGACAGGCCAAATGACGGCTCCCCAGAGAAGTCCTAACCCCTGGAACCAGCAAATATACATTGCTCCATGACAAAGGGAAATTAAGGTTGCTCATCAGCTGACTTTAAAATAGGGAGACTATCCTGGATTATCGGGGGGGGGGCCCAGAGTACTCACAGGGAAGAAGGAGGCCAAAAAGGTCTTGAATGCTCTGCTGGTTCTTCAGACAGGAGGGGCCGGGAGCCCAGGAAGGCAGGAGGCTGCAAAGGGCAGGAAAACAGACTGTCCTCAGAGCCTCGGAGGGAACACGGGGCCAGCCCTGCCCCACAACATCCGCAGGAGACTTGTGATCGCAGAATCGTACGCCCATAAATGTGTATTGCTGAAGCCACTAAGTGAGTGGTGATATGTTACGGCAGTCATAGGAAAGTAACACTCCCAGACAGAGAAAACCACTCCAGGGGCCAAAATCACCCGGTTCCTGGGCCCTTCCGTGAGCCTGAACGTCCTCCCCCCACAACAAAAGTAGAAGCCAGCCTCACAGGCTTGTCATGGGGGCCGAGGGACGCTGGTCACAGTGTGAGTCCCCTGCCTCTCGCCACCAGGGAGGGAGCATGATCATCAGTCTGAACACTGATAGTCCTCTTCCCACGTTTCATCTTCTCCAGATGAAATATTCCAACTGCCATCTGGATTCCGCGTGTTCCTAATCATTTCATAAGTAGGGTCCGGCTCCACACACAAGTAGTCAGCACCATCCCGGGGATGGGGCTGTCTTCATCACGGCCCTTTAAAAAAAAGCATTCTTAAAAAAATAAAAATTAAAAAAATTAAAAAATATAAAAAAAGCATTCTTTTCATTGGCCACAATAGTGACGGTTATCCCAGGAGCTGGGAGGCTGCCCGATTCATGAATCGCTTGGTAAAGCCAATTGGACCTTCGAATTAAGAAAAAAATGGCTCTGATTATTCCAGAGCCCCAGTGGTTCTCCAGCAGGGTTGATTTTGTCCCCAAGGGACATCTGTCAAGATCTGGAGACATTTTTGGTTATCGTAACTGGAAGGAGCTACTGGCCCCTAGCGGGTAGAGGCCAGGGATGCTGCCGAACGCGCTACCATGCACGGGATGGCAGCCCCACGACAGAGAATTATCCCACCTCAAATGCCAGTAGGGCTGAGCCTGAGAAAGCCCGTCACTCAGATGCTCCCCACGTCCTAGGCCAGTTCTAGATATTTAGTATCAGGAGCTCTCAACCTTGCAATGACTTTGCAAGGTAACATTAACATCCAGAAGACAAAATCCAGGCTCAGAAAGGTTAGGGAACTTGTCCTAAATCACACAGCTTGAAAGGCCTTGCCAGGACTCCTCATGAGACTCCCCTGGGTGCTCTCAGAGCCAGGGAGGGCCCTTCTGACGTGTCTGCCTCCCGCAGATTATGGGGGGAGGCTATGTGGGGGCACGCGCCACTGGGTTCAGCACCTACAGGAACCTAAGGGAACCCCTTGCAGATGAAGGCCCTGGCACCAGGCTTTCCCCATCAGATCAGAGCTCACACCTTGCCACTTTAAAGTGGTGCCCTCCACTTTAAGGACAAAAATATTGCATAGAAAAGTTTGGCTTTTCGAAGATATCACCAAAAAAGCACTCCGTATTTTATAAAGGCTGTCATTCAGCTAGGGGGTTCGTCAGTGAGTCAAGTTTTACTGAGCTCCATGTCCCAGTCTCTGAACATGCTTTCACGGCCCTTTGGACTCTGTGGTCCACCCCCTCGAGGAGGCAGATACCAGCACACACGATGCTTGCAAGTGTGGGCTCTGCAGTCAGACGACCTGAGCTTGAAACTCGGCCCTCCTAACCCACTCGTTGTGAGTCCTGGGCAATGTAACCTCCTAGGGCCTCAGATCCCTCTGCCATGCAATGGGGGCCATCACGGTCTCCCCTTGGGGTCATTGTGAGTTAGATTTGTGCAGTGCCTGATGCATATAAAGGCCATAAATGTTAGCTCCAGCCTCATGACCTGTGACCAGGAGCAGGGACCAGTCAGCACGGACGTGGGACCCTCCTCGCCTTCCCCCACCCACCCCGGGTTCCCTGAGGGTCCAGTCAGCTTCCCTGCCCTCCCTGGTATGAGAAGAATCATGAAGGAGAAACTCATTTGGATCAACGTGTTAAAATCCAAGCGGGGGGCGCCTGGGTGGCTCAGTTGGTTAAGTGACTGCCTTCGGCTCAGGTCATGATCCTGGAGTCCCTGGATCGAGTCCCGCATCGGGCTCCCTGCTTGGCAGGGAGTCTGCTTCGTCCTCTGACCCTATCCCCTCTCATGTGTTCTCTCTCTCTCATTCTCTCTCTCAAATAAATAAATAAAATCTTTAAAAAAAAAAAAAACAAGGGGAGAGACGCTGATGGGTGGTTTGGGCTCAAAGTCTGGGGGAGTTCGGATGGGAGTGGGGAGCGAAGATGGGGAGAAGCAGCTCCAGTTTGTATGGAGAATACTGGGGAATGGGGACTCCTAAATTTTGCTATGAATTAGGAATAAACTTCTCCTTGACCCCAATCCTCCTGCCCACCTTGGGGAAAGGCCAAAGTAAAGACTTAAATTTCCTTTTATTACACTCTGGTGGCTCGTCGGTGATTCTCTGCATGTGTCCCCAAGGCAAGACTGGACCATGTGGAGCACAGCGACCTGTGGGGCACATGATGTTCACCCCACTGTCTAGATGGGGAAACCGAGGTTGAGAGAAGGGATGTGCTCGCCACCCCCAGGTCACAGAACGAGACAAGGGCACCCTGGGAGCTCAATCTTTGGCCTCCTGATTCCAATTCTCCATGCTCCCAAAGGAGTATCTGAACCCCCTTTTCATGTATGGATTGGTCAAAGGGGCCAGTTTCTCTGGCATCTACAATCGGATTTGGGTCACATGGAACCAGCAAGCTTGACACACTTAAGTTTGACATACTTTGCTTAGAACGAGAGCTCCGGGGCCTTGGTTTCCCTCAGCAGAGGGCTTGGGGCTGCCAATGGACACTCTCTCCTAGGAGACCAGAATCCTGGTACAAGGGGTATCACCTAGCCCCCTGCTCCCCGGATCTGCTGGCATGGCCTCGGCATGGTCCTCTCCCTCCCACATCCGAACCCCTGGAATGCGCCGCCGTCAGGAGAGGGCGGCTACCACCCCCGTCTGGAATATGAGAGGGGTGGGCAGATTGCCCACGCTGATAGAAGAACCCAGAGCCTCTGACGGGTGTCTCCTTAGGCACCCAACACCTGCTCATGAATTGTGCA